ATTGCCGTCAACTACAATCAGAAACGTGGCCGCCTCCGAAGACGCTGGGATGGCGCGCGCGGCCAGCTCGGCGCCGCTCCTCCACAAACTACCCGCGTCGCCTGTCTGACAGAAACCAGATGCGACTGGGCGTCGTCAACCTGGGCCGCGGTCGCCCTCTCGACGAAGACGCGGACGACCGCTGCGATCAGCTCTGCGGCGAGGTGAAGGCGCAGATGGAATGATTTGCGAGCGCGTATTTCAGCTTCGCCCCCCGACCGCGCGTTTCAACGTGGTCGCCGCTGGCTGGCGGGGGGGCGGGGCCGCGGCCCCCTCTCAACTGTCTCTTCTGATCGCAATCAGCGCGGCGTGATTAAATGTTTTTCATATCATGCGGCATCTCGGGCGAGTAAACCGCAACTCCGCTGCGCGGGAGCTGGCGCCGCGCCCGCGACGGGGCGGCGACCCAGATTCGATCCAACGACTGTGACTTCTCCGTGTCTTTGCAGATGTGGGCCTGGCTGTCCGCCGGCAATTCCATCGGCGAGTCGAGTGCCAATATCCACTTCGACGCCGCGAAAGTAGAACGGATTGCTGCACTCGCAGAGGGAGCTTTGCTCCGCGGTCAAAGCTGGCCCAACTTGCTGCGAGAGGCGACGTTCGCGCCCGCGGCCGCAGTCAGGAGCCGAGAACTTGGATCCTGCATTGTCCGATCCATGTCCCGCTGCAGAACACGAAGAATGCCCGCCATTTGTCTGCCCGAAAGACCATGGTCGGACGTCGTGGTGGCGTAGCTCGACATAGCCTGATTTGAAAGTGACTTTGAAGACACGTCCCCGTGGCCAAAGGCGCCCGGAATAACGCGTGCCACATCCGCTGCGCTGCGCGAGCAACAATCGCATATGGCGACGCAGAAAACTTTGGAGCACGGCGCAGCGCGGCGAAAGAAGGTCTCTGCCTGGTCCTCTGTCCGGTGCGCCTCCTGACCTGCAAGACAGGTGCGGGCCACCTCGCGGCGCCAGTAGTTGTCTGGGCATCTGCGCAAAGCCTGAGCGTTCCACTTGCAAAACTCAATCACCCGACACGGAGATCTTGCCGAGTCGCTCGATGCCCGCGGCCCGAATAGAGCGACATGCTAACGAGCTAGGACGTTGTCGACGACATCGCCCCTGCGATGGGTTGCTGACGTACTAGTAAGTTGCGCGTCAGGGAGGGAGATGGGCTGGGTGTGATGGTGGATCCTCTGCCGGGAAAGACGCTTCCCTGCCGAACCCTTGTCGTTTCAGAAGAGCGCTGTCGGTTCCCTGCAGGGACTGGGGGGCAGCCGAAACAGGGGCGCCCAGCTTTCGCAAAGCCACCCATTCATTCATTCGAAGAGCAGCTTTATGTCACCAAACTCGTTCTGCAGCTTGCCGACGAACTTCTCGCCTTGGGTCTACATGAGGATGTGGAAGGGAGACTTGTCAGCTCCTGCGTGTAACTGAATAGTTGGCCGTCCCCAGCCAGCGCTCATTGGGCCCTCATTGAAGCCATAGCCATTGGCCGAGAAAATTATACAACGAAGAGCTTGGAATGCGCCTCAGCCGGCTCCACCTTGAACGCGCCCTCGAGGTCCGCTCTCTCGAGCCAAGGTTCCAAAAACTACACGGCATTCTCCTTCTGGACCAAGCCCGGCGGGGTGACTGTGGGGATCGCGGGGTCGATGTCGAGCTTGAAAATGCGGCACTTGGGCTTCGGGGGCGGAAGGGGCCTCTTCTGGCCAACGCAAGCTCCTTCCTGATCTCTTGCGTCTGGGCCTGACGGTCGAAAATCAAATCGAGATGCCTCTGGAAATTGTCACCGTGCTCGTCCAACTCGATACTCGAAACGTCAATCTGCTTCCGCAGGCGTTTCTCGATGTCGCAAAGTAGTGTAAAATGGTTGCGGAAGCGGCGGCGGCCGCATTAGTTGATGCTTTGGAGGAAGCGTCGCTGAGCCGCTTGATTACAAGGTCGATGGGGGCCCCGGCACCGGCGGCAGCGTCCATGGCATAGGCTGCGAGGCTCTCATCGCGCTCGTGCATGAAGTTTGCCAACGTCTCGCTATTGTGGGCGCGGACGATTTTTTTTGACACGGCTGTCATGCCAGTTGTTTTGCACGATGCCGCCACCAATGCTTGAAACAACACGAACCAACCTTGCGCGCACATCGTCACCACACAAAAGAGAAGCACGACCTTGTTGGACTGCAGCAGGGGGGGTACCTTCTCCTTGCGGCAGGCACCATCAGGCATTTCGTCCGGGACGTGGCCGCGACGCACCCAAAGAGAAACCCATCCAGCTACCAGTAGCACCAGCACGCAACCGAGCGTCACCTCGTTAAGCGACTGCCCTGTGATGGTGTGCAGAAAGGAACAAACCTTAGCAGCCGCCACTGCCGTAGAGGTGAGCAAGAAGAGACTGGAGGCAACCCGCGGACCAACACGGTATCCTGTTGTTCCCCGCCAGAAACCACCATCTTGAGCAACAGTGGCTATGGAAAGAAAAGGAGGTGGAGGAGGAGGCGGAGGAAGAAGAGGAAGAGGAGGGACTTGGGATATGTACTCGGGTATGGAACGTGCCTCCGCTGCAATCGGCGGCTTGACGAACAAAGCTACGAGGAGCGTGCTTATTTGCTGCTCGCTGGGGCTTATGGGGGCCGCTTCCTGTCCCCCGGACTGGCAGGGAGAAAACTGGCTTCGGTGAACGGGCTGACCCTGAGGATGTGGCAGGACACTCTTGGGGCCAGCGCCGTGAGCAGATCACGACGTCAGGGGAGGTCTGGGCCCCGAAAAGGTCAGCCCCCGTCACTGCACGACCGGTTCGAGGGGGCGACGAGGTGCGTGGCGAGGAGGGAGGTCCGCTTTGAAGGCAGCCGAGGGGTCTAAACTGGTTGAGACCCCAGAACCTCGGCCAACAGGGGGCAGGAAGCCAAATCCGCTCAAAGTCGGCCCCTGGACCCCCATCGCGAGGTACACCTGGTGCAATTGTTGTTCGTGTCCGCGGCCTCCGGGGCCCAGAAAAGACTCCCGGAGGCCAGAGAAGGCAAAACGCCTTCCCAGGCCCAGAACCTCGAACCCCAACTCGTCCTGCTTGCCAGAGCCAGTTCGGCTACACGCAAAGAGTGACCCTAGGCAAGAGAGACCTGTGGTGCGCGGGCGCGGGGTGACCAAACCCAGGCGCACAAGCCGTTGCTACCGCTTCGCGTTTAGCGATCGGGGGGCCCCATCGGGCCCGTACCAAAGGTCACTCCAGCGAAAGGTCACTCTGACGTCTGGTCACTACCAATGCAGGGCCGCTGCTCGCACGCCTTTTTCCTTCCGGCGAGGTCGCCCGCGATGAAAAAAAACAAGCTGGCGCGCCGACGGGCGCGGGAGAAGCGGACGGAGGGGCGCGGGGAGGCGGCGCCCGAAGGGTGGCTGCGTCGCCGCCTTAGAAGCACAAAAAAAACGACATAAACATACACTGTGGGCGCTCCGCGCGGATTCCTTGGATCTTCGCTGGACACCCCTCCCTGGCGCGCAGAGCGCGCCAAGGGCGGCGCCAGAGGCGCCGCCGGGGAGGCCCATGCGCCGATCCAGGAAATCCGCGCGGAGCGCCAAAAGTTTATGTTCATGGCGTTTTTGCTTCTTCGAGCCTACCCCGCGGCCCCTCCTGACTCCGAAGGCCCCCCCAGCGTCAAGGCCTTCCCGTAAAACATGGACCCCCGTACTGTAGGGGCTCGACCACAAGAAGCCTTCCACAAGGAACCCAAACCTGAGACCCCAGGGCGTCCACTGAATTTTGGTGTGGGCAGTGGGCACGTCTCGCCATCCCTCGCAGAACCAGCGCAGCCCAAGAGACCCGGGGCGCCCTGGAGGCAAGCAGGGCGTCACTTGGCATGGGCCTCCACCGCAGGGGCGGACCCCTGTCATCGGGCCCGGGCCCCTGCCCGCAGCCTGGCCCTCTCCTCCCTGCCTCCTGCTCCGACGGCCCGGCGGGGGGGCCCGGCGAGGGCCCCCAGCAGCTGCCCCAAGAAGGACCTCGTCGGGGCTTGCTGCTGTGTGGTCACGACGCGGGGGGGGGGGCCCGGGAGGGGGAGGAGGGGCCGCCCCCGTGGCTCAGAGCACGCCTCGCGTCGGACGGCAGCGGGGAGGGGCGAAGAAGGCGGGTGCAGGCGCACGAGGTCGGGAGGCGGAGGAAGCAGATTCGTGCGCAGGCCCGCCCAGAGGATCGCAAAGGACAGCAACCAGCAGATCGATTCTTGAAGCAGGGAGGCGCCAGAGGTAAATCTGGACCTGAACTGAGCTGAGAGAAGCCGCGCCTAGGTTTGGATCTGGGACTCCAAGCAACTGAATGAAACGAGCGGCGTGTAAAGGGGGTTCAGCTAATCAGCTCGCGTAGCTGATTTCCCTGGCGCATCCCAGCGCTGTCTGGCCGACGCCCCCCGCTCCCCACTAAGATGACCGCCGCGGGGGTTGCAAGGGGGGGAAAGGGGATTGAAAGTGGATGATAAGGTATGTTATATCTGGCCTGACCTAACTTGTAAGTGAGCTGAGATTGTCCTAAGATCCCTACAACAAACAACAACATCTGGGCTGAGTGGGCGGAGCCAAATTGCCGGAGTTACCTGGTCCAAGTAAGCCACTTCGGGCACCTGCAACCAACTCATAAGCTAGGTTGGGCTTGCAACCGACCCACTTGCACTCAACCCGTATAATAAGGATACGCGGTGAGGATGCAAGATTCTTGGAACCCATGTTGATGTTTTTCGAAAGAGATTGGCCAGCGATAGTCGCTGTGTTGACGATTTGTGAACGAGGTTGGCCAGCGAAAGGCGCTAAGGATGAGCCGAGGGGGCAAGGATACAGGGGTAGCCTTGGAAAGTCGCACATCCTTACTGCGCGGGTTGACTACATCAACCTACCTCCACATCCACTTAGAACCCCCAATCCCTTTCATTCGTAACCACTGCAGTCATCCCTGTTTCGTCCGACCCGAATCCTGACGGGCCCTGGCTTCCGCTCACTTGAGGGCCGGGTTCGCCTTCGGCAGGTCCGTGTCCCACGCCGCGAGCCCAGCGCAGCCCCTGTAGCCCTCGGGGCGCACCAGCCCCGGCTTGCGGCAGGAGCCGCCCAGCGACTCGAAGAGCCTCAACGGGGGAAGAAGCACGCTGGCCATGAGCAGGAAAGACAAAACCAGGACGGGGCTAAATCCGGGTGGGGATGACTCGAGACTCTCTGAGATCCGGCGGCTCTGGAGGATGTCTCGGGCGCCGCGGCCCACCCAAAGCGTTCCGGAACGCTCCGAGAGCGTTCCGGAATGCTCTGGAACGGATTTCTCCTCGTCCTAGCCTCGCCTGAAGATGTCGCGGGACCTTGTCAGTGCCGATCTTGGTCACGGTCCGTGCTGGCCGTTGCCGATTCGCGGGGGTTGTCCAAGAAAGGGCGCTGACCAGAATGCACGGTGACAGAGATCCGCACCGACGTCTCCGCTTGAGGTGATGGTCATGGTCGCCGTCTTCGCTCCCGCCACCTGAGCTTGAGCGGGCCGAGCTGAGAGATGGGCGGGACGTCGACGCCCTTCTTCATCTCCTGGAGATGGTGTCTGTTCAGGCTCTGGCGAGTTGACTTGCACTGGGGGGGGCGTGGCGAGGCTGGAAAGGGACATCTGGACTACGCAAGTCGGGACTCGCTCGCACGCCTTTTCGGCCCAACGCTGCATGAAATGGCGGCGGATGGGGGGGCAGGGGGGGGTCTCCAACGAAAATCTGTCAAGAGGGGGGGGGGCGAGAGCAACTTCTGTCAAAATCGATCCGCAGACCTGACCAACTTGTGAGCCGCGTCCACCCATGGCGAAAAGGGGCCTAGCGGGGACCAGTGCTGGGCCACCTCAGACCCCCAGCGGGCTCCAAATCTCCTCTGTCGTGGCGCGCATGCGATAGCGGAAGCCGTTCTTCGCCAGGATCTCGAACATGGCCTTCTCCCCGACGTAGTAGCCCTCGTGGATCACGAGCTGGCCGATGCCCTTGGGCCCGATCTCGATCAGATCCAAACGCCAACCTTGCAGGCTCGTGAAAAGCTCAGAGCCCCTCGCCTCTCGCGTCATAAGAAAACGGCGACGATGAGGATGATGAGGAGGAGGAGGTCGAAGAGGCGGACCACGGAAGCGTCTCCTCTGTTTCAAGCCGCCAGGGGGACCTTGCCCGGCTCCGAAACCGTCAGGAACTGACTCGTGAGGAAAAGCCGGTCCGGGGGCAGGGGTCCCACCAACTGGGGGTCCACATCATGAAACCAAACATGACGTCGGGGATATGGCCTTAGGTCGGGCATGTCCTCCGACATGCGGATGTTGGAAGGAAACTAAAACATAATCCCAAAACAAATCCAAACATACTCAGAAGAGCACAAAACCGCGTCCCCAGACTATTTTTGCATATTCTCAACTACTCTTCCCGTGAAGGGACATGCCCGACTCGAATCTGGGCTCTAAGACGGCAGGGGGGGCCTTCTCCGAAGGGATCGGGCCAGGCCTCTTCGGAGAAGGTAGGGGGGGAGTCCTCATCACAGGAGGGGGGGCGCGCCCTCTTGGCTGGGCTCTCTCCCCCGTGGCCCGCCCCCGACCGACCTCCGACGACGTGACCGTGCCAGCCCGCGCCCCCGCAGGGGACGACCCCCTCATCCTGTGGAGACTTTTAACCCGCCTCGAACGTATCCCTATCCCTAAGATGGGCGAGCAAAAAGCGAGGACAACCTTAGGAATAGGCCCTCAAAAACTGAGGGAACCCTCAGGATCGGCATCGAGGTGGGGTGATGTCAAGCATAGGGACAGGGATATGTTCCAGGCTGGTAAACTTTCTCGTCCTGGATCCATGCCTCTTTGCCCCTGGGCCAAATGTCTGCAGCGAGCCCAGGGGGGCAGCCAGGGGGGGCGGGCCTTCTCAGGAGGCCCTCTCAAGGGAAAGCGAGGAGGGGCGGGACTGCTCGGAAGTCCCCCCGCAAGCCGTCCGAGAAGTCCTCGAAACCTCCTCCGCGGAGGCGCAGGACACTTCTCAGAAGGCTGGAGGGCTTCCGAGAAGTCCCGCCGCCTTCTGCGAAGGCCTTCTCTCACTCCCCCCGGATAGCCATAGCAAAAACAATAACAATCACACGAAACATGTTACGAATGATACTACTAAGACTCATACTACTACTACTACTACTACTACTACTACTACTACTACTACTACTACTACTACTACTACTACTACTACTGCTACTACTACTACTACTACTACTACTACTACTACTACTACTACTACTACTACTACTACTACTACTACTACTACTACTACTACTACTACTACTACTACTACTACTACTACTACTACTACTACTACTACTACTACTACTACTACTACTACTACTACTACTACTACTACTACTACTACTAACTACTACTACTACTACTACTACTACTACTACTACTACTACTACTACTACTACTACTACTACTACTACTACTACTGATAATAATAATAAGATACTATTAATAGTAATAATACTAGTAATAATAATACTAATAATAATACTAATAATAATAATACTACTAATACTAATAATACTAATACTAATAATAATGAAGCTAATAATAATACTAATAATAATAAAAATAATAATAGTAATAGTAATAGTAATAACAATATTAATGATAATAATATTAATAATAATAATAACAATAATAATAATAATAATAATACTAATAATAATACTAACTAATAATAATGATGATAATACTCATGATGTTACTAATAGCAATAGAACTCGCAATAGCAATAGCACTGCGAAAAAAACAATACCAACAAGAGCACCAAGAGCACCGAGCCTTCGCGCCCCGCCAGGCTCCCGCGCGCGGGCGGCGCCGCCGGGGCGCCGCAGAAGGCCAGCGAGCCCAGGCGCAGCGCGGCCGCGGCGAGGGCGAGCGCCAGCGCGGCGCGGGTGCAGCGCGCCATGGGGCGGCGGCGCGGGTGCCCTGCGGCAGACCCCCGCGCGTCGTGGCAGGAAGGCCCGGCGGGAGGCCGAAAGCTCGGCGGCGAGCGAAGGGGGGCCGCGCGCCAGCACGGACTGGCGATCCACGGATGTGGCGACCGCGGTCGCTCAATCCGTGGATCGGGGGGGGGTGGCCTCCCCCAAGATGCGGCCGGTGCCGCCTCGTTCGGCGGCGGAAAGCCGCGAGTTCCAATGGAAGCGGGACCCGTCGCTAATCCACGCCCCCTTAATCCATGCTTGCGATCGCCTGAGATGGGGGGGGAGATGAGAAGGTGAAGTGCTCTGCGTCCTTCGGGGACGGCTCAGAAGCCTGCTCAGAAGGCTTGGGGGGGCTTCCGAGCCTCCTGAGAGGGCCCACCCTGGAACGCTCTGGAACGGATTTCTCCTCGTCCTAGCCCCGTCCGAGTCTTCGTCAGTTTCCCAACCTCGGGATGCCTTCAAACAGCTGCGCCTCGCAGAAGGCGTTCTGGGCATGCCCGAATCGTCCCGACCACGACGGAAAATTCCGGGCAATGTTTTTTCGGCCACCAGGGGCCGTCACAAGGCCTCGGGACCGTCAAACGCGACTCGGGCTGAAACCGGGTCCCTGGGCAGAGGTCCAGACGTCTGGGGGCACGTCAGAAAAAACGGGGAAACCAAGAGGTACCGATCCTGCTACTCCCCGGACCTCTCCTGGGGTGCGTTCTGACCAGGATTTCGAGGCGAATCCAGCGGTGGCGACGAGGGCCTCCCAGGAAGCCCCCAAAAAGGAAACGAGGCAAAGGTAGCGGTATGGGTACCTCTTCCTCCTCTGAAGAGTCACGACGTCGGGGGTCTGGGCTGACAGAGGTGGCCTCGACGCCAGGTGAGCGACGAAAAGAAACGGGTCTTGCGCGATTCGCAATAAAGCGCCCCGAACTCTTTGGGAGGGAACCGTCGTTGGGAGGGCCAGGAACATTAGGGATAGGGGGGCCTTTGCTAACAACACCGCCCAGACTTACCCCTGATGCAATGACGGGGACCTGATTGAGGCCACGCCTCCACTGTGTTATCAGGGTGAAGGAGTTCTCTTGTTCTCGATCATGACTATCTGCCAGACCACCCCAACGCAACCCGAAGACCCGAATATCGTGTTCCCCGACCTCCCCCTCACTGGAAACCGAGGGTAAATTCGGACCTTCGGGTTGGGTTGGGGTGGTTTGGTGGGTGATTGACACAACTGCGCAGGAAGACACAGCGACCTCACGCCGCGGCGTGCGCGGGCCCGCAGCGCGGCACACGTGCGCGGAGAGGAGTGGCCCTGACGCGCACTCGGAGGCAGGATGGGTGCCGAGCAGGTCGATTCCTGCATGCTGCGTACTCCAGATTTCGTAATAAAGGGAGGGGGGTCTCATTTCGGGGGGGGGTCTCTTCCAGGCTATCTTGGAGGGCCTGGGGGGGTCTGGGGACGATGTTTCGGAGGGTTCTCCCACGGGGGAGGCCTGAAATGGCTTGTCTTGGAGGGTCCAGACCCCCTCTCTTTTATTACGATATCTGGAGTACCCCCGCGCACCCTGACGCGGAGACCCTGCGCGCGAATGGCCCGCGCCCTCGGCCCCGTTGTTCCCTTCCGTCGCTCACGCTCGGGGGGCTCGGTGGCGTCGCCGGAGGAGGGGCGGCCGAGACCACGGAGGAGGAGGAGGAGGAGGAGGAGGAGGAGGAGGAGGAGAGACCACGGCGGCCCTCCCCGGGCGCTCCTCCGCCCTGCCCGGGGAGGGCCTCCCCGGGAGGCCTCTCGTCGCCGCGGGCCGGGGTCCGCCTGGAGGCTCGGGGCCAGGACGGGCCCGCGGGAGGGCTCGGAGCACGGGTTTTAGGAAGGCACCAACTATACACCAACACCGATCCTGGCCAGGATCACCCTGGGCCCAGGATAGGTGTATACGCTCTCCTGGCTTGCGCAAGAAGGCATATACACCGATCCTGGGCCCAGGGTGATCCTGGGCCAGGATCGGTGTTGGTGTACAGTTGGTGCCCTCCGAGATTTGCGCAGCGGGCGGGAGGCCCTCCGTCGGCGGCAGCTCCCGGGAGCCTCCCGGTACGATCTTGTCGGATTGGCGAGTCGACGCTAGATCGACGCGGGTCGCCGCTCATCGACGCTAGGTCGGCGCTTGGTCGACGCTAGATCGGCGCTGTCTCATCGACTCCCAGACGCTCATCGACGCCGATCGACGCTGCAGACGGCATTAAGAGGATATACCAGGCTCCCATGATTTGCTACCGAATCCACCGTGGTCTCAATCAGCACTCCTCCGAAGTCAGACTGGCTTGAGACCGACTGGCTGCAGTCCAGCGCACGGTGGCGGCGTGCACACATCCCTAGGGGCCAAGATCAGTCAATATCGAGGCTGGAAATCGGCTCGAATCAGAACATGCGTCGGATCGGGCAGCATCGGCACGGAGTCGAAATCGACTCGGATCGGCCGCACCAACATGCACAACAACGCCATGCGAACATCTGGCCGCATCGGATAGTCGGAACACCAGAAACGAATCGGATCAGATTGGCCAATATCGAATCGGATCGAGTACGGGACGAAACGGCACCCCGCCCCTCAAGAGCCCGCCAGGACCCTGCGAGGAGACAATCTCCATGGATGCCTCTGACTGGGGGCCGCTGGTCTTCTCGGAGAAGCCCCTCCTGCCTCCCTGAGAGAGCAGAACAAGAAACAAACATTGCAGAACCATGAACTGTCCAGGATCCGTGCGAGCTTCTTGGACCTGCGCTGGATCCCCTCCCTGGCGAGCGGAGCGCACCAGGCGCGGCGTCGGAGGCGCCGCCAGGGGTCCAGCGCAGATCCCAGACATCCGCGCGGACCTTTTGCCAACGTGCTCTGCTTCGACTTGCGAACGGCACGCCCCCCCCGCGCTGCCCCTCACCCCCCATCGGGGGTCCCACAACGGCAGGGCGACAGACCCTGCGGTGACCTCGAAATCCCACGGCACCTCACCTCACGGTCCGTCACCGCGGTCTCGAGACCTTGCAGGTCCCAGTGGCTCGAGAAATCCTCGGACGGCGG